GCGGACAGCCTTGTTATTTTTTATTGCTAAGCCCCCTCCGCCTTGCCCGAGTTTCGCGTAGCGATAAGGCCGTTGGCGGTTCCTCATCATATACCGATTGTATCGTACCTTCGTAACATGGAAGTATACTACGAATGTAAGTCGGATGTGTTCAGCTTGTGGACTAGCTTGTTATGGTGTCAGATTGCAACGATATCGACCTATCCAGGCATAGTTGAGACTGTTCTCTCTGACGGTAATCTACCTTTGAAGAGAAGATATTATGTGGGTGCCGCCGGCACATGCGTCCAACATTTCCCTTCCGTTACCTGCGTTTGAGAAATTGACTCGGTCTCTCTGGTCATCGTATCACTTTTACCCAAAGGTCTGGTTGGTGAAGTTGTAGAGTCTGTCACTGCGATGAGTTTTCAACTTTGAAGATTGACAAGGAAGAGTCCAGCGTCTTTGATTTGTGGATATGTCAACAGTCAAAACCGAAATTATCCAAGGGTTTGCGTCGGATTTGTTGCGAGCAACATGAATATACTCGAACAATTTGGCGCGATATTTTGCATCATGCGTCACCACTCAGCAGGTCCTGAGGCAGCAAGAGTTCATGGACACTTCGGCAATGCTTGCTCTTTACTTATTTATCATGATAAGTCAAAGGAGTGGACGTCCTTCGGAATGATAGGTCGGCTGAAAAACCTGACTGAGCCTTCGACTTCGTTTCCATTTGAAAAGGTCGTCGTTGTTAACGGCCCCTCCTCGTCTTTCGCAGGGGGTAGACTGTCACTTGCTGTTCACCCACGACCCGGAAACAAGTATAGAAACACAGCTCGATCACAGAGATCGTGTGTTTGTCTGGGAACTGCTGTCTAGGAAGATCAATGCTCGACAGGACAGCCGGTAATGTGGCACCGCTTGAAGACATACTGTCCACCTGTAAGGATGCAACATTTAGTATAGTGAGGCTCTGCAGTGATTTCGAACAGTTGTCGCTTGTGACTAACTCGCCGAAACCTGGCTTGCATGACTGTCTTGCTTAGACCGACGTGATGCATCAGTCAGACGTTGCCACTACCCCTGTACTGCTTGTGGCTCAAGACACTAGACTTCTAGCTCAGTGGATTCTGAATGAGAGGAATGGATTCATGGAGGGGTAAATGGCAGCCCCTCATCTACGTCCATGCTTATGTTTGAGAGGACTCAGGCTTTGTCGCAGATAAGACCTGAAGCTTTCAAACGAACTCAGCTTTTTACCTGCCCATGTGTAGCTGAAGATGTCGAAGATTGATGTGGACGTGTATGAGGAATAAGTACGCGTTAGGAGGCGCAGGTAGTGATAGTGGACATCGGAGAGGTGGACGGCATGAGCCGCTCGAGTTCTTATTCGGGTTGCCAGGGTTGGCAATTGAGCACATGTGAGTGGCCAGACGATTTTCTCTGCTTCTCTGGTACCTGCCTCGGAAGGATTCGCAGATTTTCCAAACAAAGTGGGATGGCACGGATGGGCTGGGCTGAGCTGAGGTGGGTTGGTACACAAATGAGAAGAAAGAGGAGGAGCCAACCCAGACCCCTGGAGATGGTAGAGAGGGAAGAAGTTAACAACAGCAGCGTGCAATGACAAAACTGACGACACCAGCGAGGCAATTTTGAAATGGCTTGATCGCGTTAAAAGGTGGTTTCCAGAGTCTGGGGAATTGGAGCACACATCGAATCATTCCCATTTCCCATTGCTCGAATAGGCAGGGAGGGTCTACAGATACGAATACGAACGGCCCGTCATTGGATGAGTAGGCTGGTGCCACCGATTGGTCCCTCCCCTGTTCCCGATTTTCTGGCGCAACGTCCAACATGGACCAACAGGGACGCACAGGTGCTTCCGAGTGGAAAGGGGGCCACTGGGGGGGCACCTGGCATCCCAAGCAAACATGGGAAAGAAAGGGCAGAAAACAAAAGGAAGAAGAGGTTGCGGTGCAGCTTTCTCTGCCACAATGCGCTAGGAACCCTGTGACAGACGCCTCAAAATCGATTCGGGTGGCCAGATGTCACAGCTTCTTGGCTCCATGACAATTTTCGACATGCGAAATGCTTGACCGCCTAGCCATGGCCGCCATGCAACTTTCCTTACCTTGGATAGGTACGTGGGTACATTGGCTTAGCTGCTGGCTGGCTAGGTAAGGTAAGGTGAGGTAAGGTAGGCGCACACAGACGTAAGGTACCTTAGTGGTGCTCCTTGGTTACGCAAAGAAAATGTGGAACCCAACAAAACGCGGCAGGTATCTAATCTCATTAATGGATAATTTAAAACCACTGCTGGACCCCCCTTCTCGATGCCTTCCACCTTCTTCGTGCCACTGATATTCGTGTTGTGCGTGCGGTCACTACTCTCGAAAACACAGGCAAACACGACAACTGCGCCAGATTACTTCGATTGACGCATTCTCCGTCTTCATACCCTCCTCTGCCCAGTATGGGTCTCCTCCAAGAAGTCGCAGGACCGGTGTCCCAGCAGTTCCAGACTCTAGGAACTACGTCGCAAGTCGCAATCGTCTTCGCCGCTGTCGTGGTCGTCTCCGTTATCCTCAACGTCGCAAACCAGATCCTCTTCAAGAACAAGAATGAGCCTCCCATGGTCTTCCACTGGTTCCCCTTCATTGGCAGCACCGTCATCTATGGCATGGACCCCCCAGCTTTCTTCAAGGCCAACCGCGAAAAGGTATGCGCACCACCACCGAAACTAACTCTCACCTACCTCATGTGGTCTCTTACTAACGCACGCTGCTTCCACAGTTTGGCGACGTCTTCACCTTCGTTCTCCTCGGCAAGAAGACCACGGTCGCTCTCGGCACCCAGGGCAATGACTTCATCCTCAACGGCAAGCTCAAGGATGTGAATGCTGAGGATATCTACACTGTTTTGACCACTCCCGTTTTTGGACGCGATGTTGTCTACGACTGCCCCAACGCCAAGCTCATGGAGCAGAAGAAGGTATGTGGACAAGCCAAACTCTATTTGCGCAAAGTTGCATGCTGACAGGCCACGCGCCCCTCCAGTTCATGAAGATTGCCCTCACCACTGAAGCCTTCCGCTCCTACACTCCTATCATCGCCGACGAGGTTACCAACTACTTCAAGCGCAGCCCCGACTTCAAGGGCAAGTCTGGCGTCGTCAACCTCCCCCCTAAGCTGGCCGAGATCACCATTTTCACCGCCTCCCACGCTCTTCAGGGCGCCGAGATCCGCAACAAGTTCGACGAGTCCCTTGCTTCTCTCTACCACGACCTCGACATGGGCTTCACCTCCATCAACTTTGTGCTGCACTGGGCCCCTCTCCCCTGGAACAAGAAGCGTGATCACGCCCAGCGCACCGTTGCCCAAATCTACATGGACGAAATCAAGCAGCGCCGCGAGCAAGGCCGCACCGACGGACTCGATATCATGACCCATCTGATGAACTCTACCTACAAGAACGGCACCAAGGTCCCCGACCACGAGATCGCCAACATGATGATTGCCCTCCTCATGGCCGGCCAGCACTCTTCCTCCTCCACCAGCTCTTGGATCATGCTCCGTCTCGCCCAGTACCCTCAAATCATGGAGGAGCTCTACGAGGAACAGGTCCGTGTTCTCGGCGCCGACCTTCCTCCCCTGACCTACGAAGACCTCGCCAAGCTGCCCCTCAACCAGGCCATTATCAAGGAGACTCTTCGCCTGCACGCCCCCATTCACTCCATCATGCGCGCCGTCACATCTCCCATGCCCGTCCCCGGTACCAAGTTTGTCATTCCCACTAGCCACACCCTCCTCGCCGCCCCCGGTGTCTCTGGCTCCGATCCCGTTTACTTCCCCGAGCCCGAGGAGTGGAACCCCCACCGCTGGGACGCCGATTCTCCTATCGCTCCCAGACTTGGACGCCCCGAAGATGCCGACGATGAAAAGATCGACTACGGCTACGGCTTGGTTAGCAAGGGTGCCGGATCGCCTTACCTCCCCTTCGGCGCCGGTCGTCACCGCTGCATCGGTGAGCACTTTGCCAACCTGCAGCTGCAGACCATTACCGCCATGATTGTCAGAGAATTCAAGTTCCGCAACGCCGATGGTAGCAATAAGATCAACGGCACCGATTACGCCTCCCTTTTCTCACGGCCATTGGAGCCTGCCAACATCTACTGGGAGAAGCGCAACCCCTAGATGATGAGGATTTTTAAAGGAGAGTTTTTGGGTTGAGGACTGTACATTGCCAACCATTATGACTATATATCACATGGTAAAGAGGGATAAAAGAGACTTAGACATGACAGCGCTACGGCGCCAGAAGGTGGCAGACTAGACGGTCACCACCGAATAATATTAATACAAAAAGACCGTTATGACATCACAACTATCCATCCAACCGTCCATCCCACCAACCAGTGCAGATTATGGATATTTCTCTTACTGTTGAAGATTTCGGAGAATAATTATGCACTTGGAACAGGGTAGACCAGCATTAATAGCTTGCGGGGTCCTGAGATTACTGAGAGTGGTGATAATGACACTCGAGTGCGTCGCTAAGTGGTCCGGCTGATCGGTCTGGTTTTGTTTCAAGGTCAGTGCGGCGAACCTGGCAAGGACGTCTCAGAGAGCTATAGCTATCCCCTCCCGCCCTTCCCCCTCGCATCCCTCCCCTCCCCTCACACTCATCCCAAAGCTGGAGCTTGAGCTTGAGCTTTAGTCTTTGACATTGTCACTGTTAAACTACCTCGCGCAATCGCCTTACGAACAACCGCGTACCAAACGTGGGGTTTTGAGTTTCGCTCACTGACGTCGCATAACCTCATCTACTTAACCCACAGACTGCTTTCCGATCTACCCGTCTCATATAAGAACCCGGTCGGGAATTTACGATTACGACAGGATTAGGGGGACCTTGAGCTCTTTGTGACGGAAGCACGCATTATCCGCATTACAACCAGGATCTACAGTCTTGTAAAGTCAGAAGTCGAGACGTACACCAAACCCCCGGACGTTGCCGGAATGAACACGGAGGACGAAAACCTGGGACCCCTGGTCCGCCTTTGGGGCCTCCGGACGGAGCAGCTCCCGGCGCCGAGCGCCACGACGGCGGACTTGGCGCCGTTTCTCATCGCCGTGCTCCAGGAAGCCGTTCCGTTCATCGACGCCGTGGCGCCCAAGGACGGCACGGCGCGCCCCAGCGAGTGGAAGGCCAAGGGCACAAAGACGTTTCCCGAGTCAACGGCGCCCGTGGAGCTGTACGAGCGCATCGTGCCCGCGGCGGAGTTGGAGAAGGAGGCAGCGAGGAATCAGCTGCCCAACAGCAGGTCGATCGCGAGCGAGACGTGGGCGTGCCGGCGTAGCATCCACAAGGATCGGCCGGGCAAGGGGACGGCAGCGTGGGAGGAGTTTGTCAAGTGTTTCAAGGACGACCACGTCGAGGCCGAGAAGGCGTTTACGCCCAACGTGATGGAGGCGCGGGAGGCGCTCGCGTGGGATTGCAGCGGTATCGTCGTTGGCGAGGGCGGGTTGTCGTGGGAGGACTTCAAGGTCGGGGTGTCGGAGATCAAGCACAAGCTCGGGATGCCGCTCAAGAACCGCGTGTTCCCCGTGCTCATCATCTCGGCCAGGGCCAAGGGCGCTGTGGACGAGTTCGTCGTGGTATCGATACCCGTCTCGGACCTGGCTGCCTCGGAGCACGGGAAGCTCGTCAAGGAGAAGGGTGTCGTTGTGGGCGCGTACGTGAGCGTCGAGAGGGTTCGAAAGCTGCCGACGGGGGCTATTGAGTGGATTATGGCCACGGCGTCGGACGCGAAGGGGGTGTTGCCTGCGTGGATTCAGGCAAAGGCCGTCATTGGCGTCGTAGCCAAGGACGTTGCGTTATTTCTTGGCTGGATTGCTGAGGAGCGGGAGAAGGGAACGAGCGTGGGGAAGTGGACTGCCGTCAAGGGGAACGGTGGAGGCGAAGTCCCCAACCGCAAGCCATCCATGACTTTGGAGGACGCCGAGTCGTCGATGCAGGGCGGTCGCACTTCGAGGCAGGGTGTGTCTTCGAGGAATGGGAAGGAGCCGGCGGCAGGAGGTACGAATGGAGGAGGATCGGGGACAAATGGCCAGGCCCACGCATGAGGGAGGGGGTTTTCCAAGTTTCCAGTACGCGATACCTAAGTTGCAGTCAGACATTGAGCTAATACACATGATCGTTGAAAGTGATTGAGCGCATCGAGTTCCTGCTAGATACAGCTCCCCAAGGAATAAGGTAAGGTAGAAGGTGCACAAGTGACTGGCTTGGGCTCCTTCCCACAACAAACATTTGAGAATGGCAGGAACCTCCTCGCGCCTGCCCTGACTTCCTCTGACGCCATGCAAACCCTGGGATCAGGCACCTGACCGGCCATCCCTGCCTTCTGTGGGAGAAATCGAAGCCCTCCTTTCTGTTCAATCCCTTTCCACACATCGCCAGACGAGACTCAGGCGGTTCTTCGACTCTTATTCTGTACTATCAATCAGCTCGACGTTTCTCTCCTCCAGTCCTCGTCAGTTGACTTCTGTGTGTTCTCCTATCACGTCGTTCCTCTCCGAGCCTACCTATACGTGAACCAGGGGAAGCTACAATCATCACAATGCCGCCAGCAATGTCGAAGAAACGGCCAGCTACGGCATCCAACCTCGAACACGCAGCTGCCCCTGACAGACCGTCTGTAAGTAATAGTAGAGCTCTATGTACGATCACTTGGGTTCTGATACATCAAGATAGATCCAGAACAATGGCGCCGCTGCGAAAAACACCATCCCCGCAACCCAGATGGCTTTTGCCATGAGCCACATCGTCATCTACCAAGAGCTCATGACCATGCGTCGTACTCTTGATGACATCTCTCGTCGCCAGGAGAAGAGCGACGAGACTAACAAAAACAGCGAGACGAGACTGCAGGAGCTACAACCCATGCCCAAGCGACTGGATGATCTGGGAGCCGAGCTGAACAATCACTATGCAGCAGCAGAGGAAAAGATCCGGAAGCAGGAGGAAGAGCTTAGAGTTTTTGCAGATAGGCTCTTCCAAGGCGATGAGGAGAGGGCGGCTTTGGACCGCAAGGTCGAGCAACTCGTCGCTAAGCAGTCTTTGAAAGCGACGCAAGATGACCCGGATAACTGTAGGAAATCCAAACCCCAAACCACAAAGAACAAAGCTGACATGTGTTAGTTCGGGCCGTTGTTAGAAAGAGGCCTCGAGCTGTCGACAGTGAGGGGCCCATCTTGGCACCATCCAAGCCTCAACAGCAATCGAAGAGACGTGCTGAACCGGTCCCCGACAAACCCAAGTCTAGAGCCCCCAAGTCCAAACCGGCAAAGCCCAACGCTCCCAAGCGCCTCCCAACGCGATTCGAGATCTTCCAGAGATACAAGCAAGGCCAAATGGATGAGTACTATCGAACCCCTCGTAGAAGGGGCAACGAGTTGAAGAAATTCATCAACGATTTCATTCAGGGCATTGAAGACGAAGAAATTTCCAACTCTGTGCAGGATAACCTCCTGGAACGGTTTTCTGGCTCAGTTCGGAAACTCAAGACCCGCAAAGGATCACGGTTCATTGCCATAGGGACTGAGCTCAGCTGGGATGATATTGGCCGGGTTGTGGACGACTCAAAGCTACGGGATAATTTGGAGTGAAATGCAGGCTCACGGTGCAGAACATTTGATTTTTGGGCGAAGCACATTGATAGAATGATTGTCGGCCAGCAGAAGGCTACCAGAAGGGGACGCAATGTTTTATGAGAAAATAGCAATGATGGTATTCAACAGGCAGCGTGGCAGCACAGCTCATATCCAGAGTTATCTTAAGGTAGATACTGAAAAAGCATGCTTTCAACCAACTAGATGTTTCGTACCAATATTGATGGATCTGAGTATCGTAACATCACCAGTTAGGTGATACGAGGTGAATACGGCTGGTTGTCTTAAAGGGCGATCGGGTCTGTGCGCCACGCCGCCAGCGTTTGTCACGCTAAAGCTTACCACACACGACACGCGACCTGCAAGGCTGGTCCTCCAGGATAGAAGTAAGGTAATTAGCTAGCTACCCTCCAGGGTTTGGGTACCTTTCTTAGTACCGTGGTGAGCTAGGACCTACTACCCGTGGGCCTCAACTTCCACTTCTAACTTTGCGCCTCCGGCCATGAGGCACCGACATTCGAACCTCTACTCAAGAATATTGCATACGGATCTGCCGAGAGTTTCTCCACGTCGACAACTCTGACGCATTCGATCTCGCGAATCTTTGAACATTGTTTCCCACGTTTTTAATCAGAAAGGAACCCCGAATGCGCTTCGCTTAACCTACCCGCGACGATCGAGGCGCGCCTGCCTTTCCGATCTTCACAAACGAAATCCTTCTCCCAACTCTGACTATACCCACTGGATGCGACAAACAGAAATACTGCGAACACCCGTAATAAATTCGACGATCGACCTCCAAAGATGCCAGACATCAGTGCACCGCCGCCGCCACGGCCGAAGCTGAAGCTTAGCGTAAATTCGCGACAGACATCATTCAGCGAGCAGAACGGCGCGACACCTACAGCTTCGACACCTTCCTCCGGGATGAAGATCAAACTCAAATCATCACAACCGCCAACGCCGGCTGGGCCGGCAGCACCGACACCAATCAAGACAAAAGCCGGGCGTCAACCGAAGCCCACGAGCAAGCTCATCGAGTCAAAAAAGAGGGAGCAAGACGAGGATGACGATGGCGCAAACCAACCGTCTTCGAAAAAGATCAAGCTTCTCAAGACGCCGAACGTATCGACACCTAGATCAGGTCATATAGTTGTCAAGTCGAAAGGCAAACCACCAGTACACCCCCCTGGCGATGGCTACGACTCGGAAGCCAGCGACCAAGAGAAGGACCCCACAATCGAGGAGCAGTTCATTTTGCGCATGATGCCAGGAGAGCATTGCGAATACGTCAGGAAGTGCGTCGAAGAAGGCAAGGTGGGCCTTCCTCGAAAGGATGGCGGCGCGGATATAATGATGAAGTTCTTCGACGACGAAAGCCGGCGTGCGGTCGTTGTCGTCAAAGGCCAACCATACGCAGCGGTCATGGTTGAGCTACCGACAATCACGGAAGGAATGAAGTCCTGGGACCGGAAGACGCTCATGAAGTCAGCTGACATTTGCCATATGCTGCTGGTCTTCCAGCCCGTAAAGAGTGACGAAGAGGCAAAGAAGGCACCATTACCCGCGATGATTCAGCCAGGCTTCAAGTGGCCTCACGGTCTGACGCCACCGATGCACGATGCAACGAATCAAAGATTCGCAAAAATTATCAGTCGCTCAGAGATCGAATTGAAGGAGAACGAGGTTAAGAAACTCTTGCAGGCCGATGCGGCCGCTATGTCCTCCAAATATGAGTTCATCGACGACAGAAAGATGCAGTCTGGCGACGAGTACTCCGACGACGAACAGGACGCCGATGGCGAGGCAGATGACAGCGGCTACTTCCCCTCTGAGGGCTATGCCAACGGCGAACTATTTGACGACGATGACCATGACTTGGAGGCTGAGCTCGAGGCCGCTTTCGAAGAGGAGATGAACCAGGCCACAACGGAGGTTGGCACACCAGCAACACAAGTCGAGGGAGCCACGCCAATGACTATGAACGCTGGCACACCGGCAGCCAACGCACGTGATGGGGATGAGTCCGTCGCTAGTGAAGAGGACGAAGATGACGACGACGACGATGACGATGATGACGATGAGGACAAGCCGCCTCAGGACGAAATCAAGGCCGTCAGGGAAGATATCGTGAATCTCAAGGCAGAAATTGCAAAGAAGGAGCAGGAGAAGGCTCTCCAACAAAACAAGATTCTGCGGAAGCGTGTAGAGGACAGGTTGAAGCAGCTGAGGGCGGAATTGGCGCTCAAGCAAACGTCTATCAACGAAGAAGAGGAGGACGACGATTAAGGCAGGAGCACTGTAAGCGCTCAAATAGGATTGCAAACGGAAGGGCAAGAATATCCACTTCAAAGCAATTTTATCTACGGCCATGTATAGTTATCATGCCTACAAGCTTTTAATATTGGAAACCAGAGCCCGCAGCGCTCTAACAACTTCGTTCTTCTTATTCGTCCAGCTGATATTTTGGTGATGATATAACAAGCCGGTCATGACGACCGTAGATATTGTACAAGAGCCGTCCTTTTAAGAGCTCTCTATGATACACACTCCCGACCCACTGCTGCCACACATGTAGCAACCATACAAGATGCAACAAGCTCAACAAAAGGTGACCACAACGAACCCCCTCTTACATGGACTTGAGGTAGTTGGACTCCTTGATCTTGGCCTTGCGGTCCTTGCGCATCGCCTTGCGCAGCTCGTCTCTCTTGGTCGCCGCCTCGAGGTTGTGCTCGACGTCGCCGCCCTTCTCTCCGGGCAAGTTGATGGACTGCTGCGGCAGCGGGACCTTTGGCGCGAGGGCCTCGACGTCGCCCGAGGCCAGGACCTTTGCCTCGAGGGCCTTTTGTTTCTTGGCTGCGGCCTTGCGCTGCTTCTTGGACTTGGCTGTGCGTTTTGTGTGTTAGATGTTGTACTCATCGAGGGGTTTTTTTGGGCCAGGGGAAATTGGTAGGGAAAAGAGAAACGTACAAAACATCTCGGCGGCGAGGTCGTCCGTAGACTCTACAGCCTCGCTCTTGGACTCGAGAACCGTCCACAGCCAGTCGGGGTACGCCTCATCGGGGAGAGCGACGGGGTCCGTCTTGTTCTTGAAGTAGTTGAGGCCGTTGAGGACGGTGCCGGGCGGGCAGGAGGAGATGGGCGCCGCTGCCTCGGGGATGTCGGCGGTGGCCGAGGAGAGCTTAGGGGGCGCGTCCTTGGCGTCGGTGGCGGCGGCAGCAGCAGGCGCTTCTGCTGCGTTTCTTGAGGGCGCGGAGAGGGAGAAGGGTCTGACGAGGATGGACGAGGCGCGAGGAGCCTGGAGACGGGGTAGGGCCGCGGCGCCGCGGCGCATACATGTTCTGCAAATCATGGCTTCGGTATATGGGGGGTCGTAGAACGCAGAAGATTTGCGTCACCGGTGGTGGATATATCTGTAGGTTGTTCGTCGACGAGGATTAACCTGAACTTCT